GTTCGGACTCCTCTGTTGTGGCCAGGATCTACTTGCGAGGTCCCTCGAAACTCCCTGGGCCTCCGCTTCTTCCCCTACGCCCAGTGATCCACCCCCAGGGGGACAGGTAAGTAACTTTAGATTTTATCACAGCTACTTCATATAACCTGTTGAAAATTGTCAGAGAAACTAATAATGTTTGTTAATGACTTGTGCAGGCACTGGCTGGTTGTGTCACCTGGTGACTCACGCAACCCCAACCACATCCAGAGTCTTGTGTGCAGGCACTTTTACCTCGGCATTGTCACGCACAAGGGGAACACTGAGCCGGCCAAATCGTGGGACCACTACAAAGATGCCCCCGACGCATATGGAGATAAGCAAGAGCGGGTGAGGAGAGAGTTCTGGGTAAGTCTCGCTCGCACAACTTTGATCAATACATCGCATTCATTTGACTTTTTTGACATAATGAATTGATACATTGTGTTTGTCTGCAGACTTTTTTCAGATGTGAAGAGGGACAGGAGGACAGGGCGGAGAAGGTGATGGTGAAAAGTGCCAAGAAACAAATCACCGACATGCACTATGAGGAGCGCCTCACTTGCATTGTCAAGTACTACGCCAAGCACCTTGGTGAGAAGATCACCATGACACAGGCAAGACAGAGGACGCTGACCCGGGAACAATACCTTGAGGTAAATGAAGAAGAATAATACTGATTCGTTTTGAGATTAAGTAGCTTTAATTTGTTCTTCTTACATCTCAAATTCTTTATGACATGTAGATGATTCCATGGTGGTGCGAGTCGTGTCGGGACTGCTGTGTGATGATCGTGGACAGGTGGTTCACGGAGGGTTATATCCAGGACCACGAGGCAGAGCGAGAGCGGCGTATGGCAGTGACAGGCCCCACACACCATCAAGGCAGCCGTAGCCTCAGCGCGTACAAGCAAGCATGGGTACGTGAATTTTTAGTATTTTGACACTCCATTCTGCGTGTTTCTTCTAATCATCTTGTTGTCTTTCTCACAGTCGGCGTCACATGGTGGGCAGTCCATCTCCAATTTCATGGCATATGGTCTGGCCCGCAAGGGTAAGGCGACGTTCGTTGTCACCTGCACCCCGGATGACCCGCTCGAGTCCTACAGCAACCCGAGCGTCCACACCCGCATCAGCTCGTACACGTCGGAGGCAAGGTCAGTCCATGGGCCAGACTGGGATCCGAGCACCGACGACATCGATGGGATGATGGTCATGAGGCTCGGACAAGGCAAGAAGCATGGGTGGTACTGGATTGGCGATGGCACCCTCGAGCCCAGTGAGATTCCCTCCCTCTCCCAGATCCGAGCACAGACCCCGAGCGGAAGCCTGACCATACACCAACGGCCGTCCCATTCATAGCAGCGGGTCGACGCACTCCAGGTTAGTCCCATTTAACTCTTCGTACATTGATCTTTAAATAACTTAGTTACCTTTGCATTACTGAAACATTCGATTGAAATGTTGCAGGCCGACAACAAGAGGATGGCTCAGGAGCTGCGGGACCTGGCGGCGAGGACCGAGCAGGCCGAGCGGGAAAGACAGGCCGAGCGGGCCGAGCGGGCCGAGCGGGAAAGGCAGGCCAAGCAGCTAGCGGAGATTACGATGTTCCTGCAGAACTTTGGGCAAATGCACGGTGTAGCTGTGCCGCAGTTCGCTCCACCGTTGCCATCAGTTATAACTAGTCCTGTGAGTATGAAACCAAATTGCTTCGACTAGTGCTTTCATTAGATGACCACTCTAACAGATGCAATCTCTTGTCCTTTATGCAGCCTTCGTCGGCGGGTTCGAATAACCCATCTCAGGCGTAAGCAGGCGACGGCACTTTTCCTTCACCAGGCACTCAGTTTCCTCCCCACCTGTAGTTTGTATCTCTTTTTCACCGCTTGATGGACATGTGATGCACTATGATCGACTATCGACTTGTTTCGATGGATATTGGACCTATTATGCTTGTGATGTCGTGTATGTGAGATATTGTGTGATCGACATGTGATATATATGTGGTATTGCCTTTATGATGACATGGATGTGATATATATGTGCTATATTATGTTTGTGATGTCACAGATGTTATATATATCTCTTATATGCTGTGTTTGTGAATATAGAATAAAAAAAATTAGCCTCTTTGCCGAGTGCCCTGACCCTGCCACTCGGCAAAGCTGGGAAGAATTCCCAGCTTTGCCGAGTGCCAGGGTCAGGACACTCGGCAAAGATTTTACGAAAAAAATTAAAAAATATTTGCCGAGCGCCGACCTAGCAGGGCACTCGGCAAACAAATTATTAAAAACTAAATAAAAATCTTTGCCGAGTGCCTCCCCGGTAGGGCACTCGGTAAAGAAATTTTGAAAAAAAAATTAAAAAATCTTTGCCGAGCGCCTCTGACATGGCACTCGGCAAAGCATGTACTAACGCAACCGGCGTCATGACGGTCACTTTTCTTTGCCGAGTGCCGAGATTGCACTCGGCAAAGACTTTGCCGAGTGCCCGATAAAATACGCTCGGCAAAGAATTCTTTACCGACGGATTTTTTACCGGAGGCTCTTTGCCGAGTGCTGCCCTCGGCAAAGGCTTTGCCGAGGGCAAAGTAGCCTTTGCCGAGTGCATTAGGCACTCGACAAAGCGCCTGAATCCATTAGTGATTATTGTTGTTCTGCTTGGCTACTTATTAGTATTGTCAGAATATATCTATAAATATTTGAAAGAAAGTGTGTACCTAGCTAACACAAATCTACACAAAAATTTCAAACTAATTGTCGAAGGAATTGATAGGCAAAGTTTCAACAGATTGATAAAATCTTGGTCGTCTGTCTTCGTGACTAGGTTTCTTGGCGGAAAAGATAGCACAAGTGCTGTCTCGGAAAGTCAGAACACTTTCACTTTCTCAAGGATTAATGGAGATCATATATATTACAGAATCCTGAAATAGCCTTAGATTTTTAGGTCCCGTTTGGTATGTCTCTAAATAACTTCGGTTCACAGAGGAGTCTTAGATCTTTAGGTCCGGTTTGTCATGCGTCTAGATATGGAAAGACTAGCGTTCAGACATTCGGATGCACGTGTCTATTGTCCGCCCACGCGTCTGACGTGCTCCCTCTTCAGGTGGCAAGAAACGACGCAGGCGACACACTTCCCTGGATGCATGCGGTCAACGAAAGAGACGTGTGCATCGCGCCTCCGCCTCCCACTTTGCCTGGGTGGGCCCCAAGCGCATGCATGCAACTCCTACCCACCCTCAGGCACGCGGCTGCCACACTTGTCCGCGCGCTCTGCTATTGTCGCCGCGCGCTACTACTACCACACCTGCCGGCCCGGCCACGCCTGCTGTTGCGGTACGCATGCGCCTACGCATGCATGTGGGGGCTGTTGCGCCCGAGGGGACCACCTCTGTCTACGCCCACTTCCCGCGCCTGGTCATGTAGCGCTTGCAACATAAAATATTTGCTGAAACATACGTTCGAAATAAATGAAACATTTACAAACATATGCTTCCAACATATGTGTATGGCCACTGCAACATATGCAACATCCAGAGAAAACACTTGCAACATACGTTTGAAACATTTGAAATATACAATTGCAACATTCGTGTATAGCCAGTGTAACATATGCAACATCTAGATAAAACACTTGCAAAATACATTTGAAACAGCTGAAACATTTGAAACATACACTTGCAACATATGTGTATAGTCATTGCAACATATGCAACATCGAGATAAAACACTTGCAACATACGTGTATAGTTATTGCAACATATACAACATCTAGTTTTTTTTTCCGACGAAAGAAGAATTATATTATATAATAGTTGGGTACATCAATACGTTACAAGCACTCAGAAATTGATTTTCATCTAAATTATACCGACACTTTGAATAGCTCCAGATCTTAAAACCAAACCTGTACGACGCTTCAGAAACGCATGAAACATACAGAGCTAGATGCCATGGAGTGATGAAATATTTTGGGCCAACACTCAGCTGCGATGCAGATGTGGGCCCACGCTTCTCTCATAAACAGGCAAGCGCCTTGGCCAGCCCTGCAAGTGCCTAAACTTCTAAGCCGGTCGGCCAAAGCAGCAATGCGACAGGCAGCATGCAACAAGGGCAGCTAGGCATAGCGCAAACAACACACAAAGAGAAAAGAGCAGCGCTGCAAGCAGTAGCAGGCCTAGGCGATAGGGAGCAGCGGACGCAGCAGGCAGCTAGTCTTCTGTGGTCACGCGCATACACGGCCCGAGGCGCAGCATGCACCCCCAAATGAGATGCCACACGCGCTCCAAGGGTGCAAGTCCCGCTATAACAACGTGCCCCTTTTTTTTATTGGGTGTAACGCTGGGGTGAGTTCGTCTGTCCGTCCGGACGTCCTCAACCAAGCATTAGCGCTCTAAATAACTTCAATTCTTTGCTAAAGTCACTGATGAAGTAAAAAATAATAGTTTCGCTCTCTCCTATTTAATTTTCCTTTTTTGAAAAAAAATCAAAAAATATATTTTTTAATTGTGCCAATAATCCTTTTTTTTTTGAAAGAGTGCCAACAATCCTTTTATAACTACCTATAGACACAATCATGGTTTTGTTATGTTCTTTTACGAATACAGGCTGACTAGCCCATGATTTTTTTTCTAAAAATTTGGACAAGTACGTGCACGTTATATTAGCACGGTATACTTCCACGCTAGAAATTCATTTGTGTACCATCGACGCACATGGACTTGGCCCTCTCGCCCAGTTAAGAGGCCTAGTCCCTTTCTGCAACAAAGGACCCCACTCGTCAGAAGGAGAGATACCCCAGTGAGGCAGTGATCCAGATGGCAACGGTCAAGTGCCCGCCAATGCCAAGCGACCCCAACGGTTACTTTCGCAGCGAACTGCTTTCTATTTTTCCCTTCCCACACCCGCGCTCACAGCCTCCTCTGTTTCCACACCCCCTCCGCCCCACTCCCAGAGTCGAGAGACCTCCCCACAAGTGATCGGCATGAGTGGCACAGCCGAGGAAAACACTGGCGGAGGCGGCGCAGCTCGAGTGGTGGTGGTCGAGCGCGTGGTGACGGTGGAGTACCTGGAGCCGTCCATGTCGCGGGAGCTGCTGGGCAAGTTCCCGGACCCCTCCGCCTTCGACTTCGACTACTCCCAGAGCGGCATCTGGTCCCCGCTCAACAAGGTCCCGCGCGGCGGCGCGTGCGAGGATGAGGCCACCAACTCCTCGACCGACTTCCTCATCGCCAACCCGAAGCGCAGGGCGCGGGCCGGCGGCCGGCTCAAGGACTAGGCTGGCGGCGTCGGGAAGTCCAGGTGGAGGCGCAGGCGGCTGCGGCGAGACGGGCCCTTCCTCGACCTCCACGACACGGGCAGGGCCAGGCTCGACTTCTCGCCGCCGGCACCATCCCCTGCGAAGGTAGTAACCACTTGCCTCTGATCCTTCATTAAGCTTTGCTGAAATGTTCATGAGCATCACGCGGGTTTCCTCCACAGGTTGGTTGGGGCGGTTCTCAGGAGGGGGAGGCGGGTGCTCAAGGCGGCCATCAGGAGGCGCGGCAGCGGCGGTCCCGGCAGGCTCCCCTGCTCCAGATGGTCCTCCCCATGCTGTGATCGATCGATCTCGCACGCTCACACGAATTGCTTGCGTTTTGTTTTCACTTTGTTACTCCTACATCACAGTTCTTCGGATTGGATCCAGAGGCTAGTCCATGCCCTGGTTGTTAGCTTGTACTATAGTTGAGTTCAAATTTGTTGCAAGTTGTTAGTTGTAACAGTGTAATGCTCTTGCCGGTGATGTGGTACATGTTTTCATTCCATTTCCGTGAGCTTTATGCTGAGAGAGTATAAATTCCCGTGCCAATCAGTATCCATGAAACATTGAGGGCAGATCGTGCGGGAATTCTACAGGAATTAATTCAATTTCACGGAAAAGCTACACAAACAGGCAAAATTTCTTGCGTTCCAAACAGATGCTGAAAATGAAACGCATGGATAAAAGTCTGTTATTCATACAAATCTCAGTATTCTACTCTCTTTAAAAAAAAACTCAGCACACTAGTCTTTTGCCATTATTTGTGGAAGAATTCAATCCCTTCACGCTTCAAGTGGGAGCTGGATTCCTCGTGGAACAGTGAAGGTCAGGGTGCAAGCAATTTCTGTGACGAGTCCTAAAGTGTATCCACGCGTCGATTAACATGGAACCAGCGGCCCAGCCATCGTCGCCATCTATCTCGCCGACTGCCACCGCTTCTCCTTTTAAAAACACCTTATAAGCAAAATGGATCCTAGACCCAATTACTTTGGATTTTGGTGTTTGATGACCAACACAACCAAATTTGATTAATAAATTTGTAAGTAATTATTTTGTAGTTCAATAGGGTGCAAGACGTGACTTGGATGAAGGCGACATGATGATCCAACGATCAACGCCATAAGCAAGACCCTAGAAGCGCAAGAGAAGACCCAAGATATCAAGCAAAGTCCAAGCACGAAGATGGGAACCAAGCCGAACGCAAGATCGCGAAGAAACGAGCTCGGCAGAGGTGACTGGACGCGTCCGATCAGTTGCTCGGCAACAGCAAGCATCAGTAGCAACGACCGGACGCTGAGCGAGGCAGTGACCGGATGCATAGACTTAACTGTTCATCGTCGCGGCAACAACTCGGTGAGGACTGGACGCGCCAGGCAGTGGCGTCCGATCATGTCCAGAAAGGTTCCAGAGCGGCGCCAGCGCGACCGGACGCGTCCGATCGAGTGAGACCGGACTCGGCCCAGAGTCCAATCAACGAGCGCGCTCCAACGGTCGGCAGGACCGGACGCGTCCGATCAGGATGTGATCAGCATCCGGTCACTAGTAGAAAGTTAGGTCTCGGATCCAATGGCTAGTTCTCACTTGTGGGGCTATAAATAGACCCTCCCAACCGGCCATTTGAGCTGTGGAGAGATGAGAAAACATATCAAGGGTGTTGATACACTATTTTAGTGATCTCAATTTGCATAGTGCTTAGTGATTCATTAGATGCGTAGGTGTTTTGCGAAGTGCTTAGATTGATTAGACCACCGCTTATGTGCTTGTTTTAAGTTTAGGCCTAGTGTTTAGCGAGGTTTGCACACCTCTTATTACTCGATGCTTACGCGCACCATTGTTGTATATCAGAGGGGCTTATAGTCTTGCGAGATCACACCAACTGCATTTGTGGTGTGGCCGCCACCGTGTACCGAAGGAAACAAGGCCCGCTGCGGTTTGGCCAGAAGCTTGATAGTGAAGACGACGGGGAGCGTTCCGGGAGAGGCTTGCCGAAAGGTACACCGGAGACCCACTCGCACGTGGAAAAGAACTAGAGCTATCTACGGAGTTACCTGACCTAGAGCTTGGCCCTTGCGAAGGATTCCTTGCAAGGGGCTTCAACGAGGACTAGAGAGAAGCTTGAGCGCTTCTCGATACCTCGGTAAAAATACCGGAGTCATCGACGGGAGTTTGCATCTCTACCTCATCTTTACCTTCCGCATTCACATTGCTACCTTGGTTGATTGCTTTACTTTCCTAGCTTAGTTGATAGGCTAGTTGATAGGATTGGAACCTAGGTTGCATAACTCTTTTGCGGTAGAGATAGCAACACACCTAGTAAACCCGTAGTTGCACATCTAGATAGATTATTTTCTTACATAGGTTTTGACTAGGTGGAATTAGAGGCCATAGTTTAGAGTAGATTTTTAAGTTGCCTAATTCACCTCCCCCTCTTAGGCGTCACGATCTCTTATAAGTGGTATTAAAGCAGGTTGGCTCAATTTGGACCTTTGGCTTCACCGTCGTTGAGCCGACACTATTTAGAGTGGTTGGAATAGATACCTCTAGGCCTCCGCATTTTGACGGCACTAACTTCCCCTACTATAAAGCTATAATGGCTTGTCACCTTGAGACGGTAGATTTGGGTATTTGGAGAGTCACTCGTGACGGGATAAAACCCATTAAGAATCCCGATAAACCCACAAAGATTGAAGAAAAAGACATTTATTTCAATGCTAGAGCTAAAAATTGCGGGTTTGAATCTTTTAGCATGGATGTGTTTAACCAAATGTTCACTTTAAATACGACACATGAAATTTAGTTAAAATTACAAGAGCTTCATGACGGCACAAGTAATGTCCGTGAGCAAAAACATTGCCTAGCTCAACAAAGTTATGATTCTTTTGAAATGAATGATGATGAGCTTGTTTGTGATATGTATTTACATTTGAATCTAATTATCCATGAGCTCAATTCTATAGGATTAACAAAGATAGGTGATGCGGGCATCATGAGGAAGATCATCTCTGTGCTACCACAAAAGAAATATACAAGCATCATCACCATCCTTCACAACATGGAGGACTTGAGCACCATGACCCCGGCCATAGTCATTGGCAAGATAGTGGTATTTGAGATGTCATGTAAGATGGGTCACGAAGAAGCCTCTTCATCAAGCAAAGACAAAGCTCTCACTTGTAGTGAGCACAAGAAGATGAAGGGCAAGTAAGTTGAGACAAGCTCAAGCTCAAGCTCCTCAAATGAAGAAGAAGAAGATGATGATGATGATGAATCAAGTGATGATGATCAATCTTCCTCCTCCACCTCCGACCTTGATAAAGAATCAATCAAACTTATCAACAAGGTGGAGAAGATGATTTAAAGGCTCAATGTCAAGGGTGTGCCCATCTAAATTCAAGATTTCATTTTTACCAATCAAAGAAATGGGCAAAGAAAGAAAGGATGTAGCGAGTTGGGACACCTTATGAAAGTTTGTCCAAACAAGCCCACACCCAAGATAAAGAAGAAGGCGTGTAAGGACAAAGCCCTCACATCATTAATGTCATGGGATGATTCTTCAAGTGAAGAAGAAGACCATCACAAGAGACGAGGGTACAAGCACTCATCATCAAGCACTTCACGAGTGTGCCTTATGGCACGAGGTAACAAAAAGTCTATCCCTAGTGATAGTGACAATAATAGTGATAGTGATGATGATCTACCTTCTTATTAGGTTTGTCGTAAGTCAAATGTATCTTTGGTCATTGATTTTAAAAAATATATAATTATTCATGACATAACATTTATATATTATGAAAAATATTTTCAGAATTAATTATATATTGTGAAACTATAATAATCTTTTTAAATAGATTGTCAAAGTTAGTGATGTTTGACTCAGGACAAAGTTACTGTGATATGTAAAAATAACGAAGGGAGTACCACTAGGCGCACTAACTAGTGCTCATTCACCAAACACCTGCACAGCCCATCATTAGTTGCACGAACGCATATGAAACTTCATATAGCGCCTAGGATCCGCGCAAGGAGATTGCTTCGCCTACTGTTTGATTAATGTTCACTAATTGGACGCCGCCACGTGCCTCGTGCGTGTCTGAGCCTGGCTTTGGAGGCCAGCGGAGGCCTCTGCGACTGTACTCCAATCAGAGCTGCACAAATCAGTCGATGTCTGTTCCCCACCCCTCCGTCCTCGGCTCTTCGTTCTCTCCGTCTTCGTCCTCAACTTCTCGTGCTCTCCGTCGTTGCCCCTTCCTCTTCCTCCTCGGTGCCTCCCCTTTCTGTCGTCGCCCCTCCCTCGCTTCCCTCGATCCCATCCCACGCCGCCCTTTCTCAGATCGTCATCGCTCGTGCGTGCTCAGGCGACAACGACGGATGTGCTCGCCATGCGCGCATCCACATCGGGTCCACCAACGCCGGCGTCGAGTCTACCGCCGCCGACGCCGGATCCACCGTCGCGGTTCCATCAGTAGGCAGGTTAGGCCATGTGGTGTCGTCCATGCTGCCTCGCTTTTTCGTCAAAGCAACACTGATGATGGCGAGATAAAGCTTTCTCCAACTGAACGACGAGGTGGCCAAGGTGATAGGTATGTGATGCCCTAATCTCCATCCCCCTTTCTCAATTGTAGTTTTGTTTTAATCTCCACTTTCTCTTTATTTTCTACTCTCAGGTCCCCGCAGTGGAAGTCCCATGCGACACAAATGAATTACGGCACTCAGCACAACGGCTACGCCGTGATGGCCTCCAGCTACTGGAATTTGTGGCGTTCAAGCCGGTTGAGAAACATCTTGTGCAATGCTGGTTCGTGGCGTTCCCAATCCTGGAGAGCAGCAGCATGTGCAACCCTGAAGCGACCAGACTCAATACGTTACTCTGCTTTTTGCATCCTGCGTATTCGATGATATGCCTCTGTTGTGATGCTTCACTTTGTCAATTTGTCTGTACTTGGTTTTTTGTTTGCTTTGTAGTGAATTAGGATACCATT